TGCGATGGGGTCAGCAGCAGGGTAGACACCACCTGCGGGGGCTGGGCCGGCGACGGGTGCGGGCAGGAAGTAGAAGGACGGCGCCGGTACCGCAGAGAAGGTGACGGGCACGGGGGCGGCTGGGGCGAACTGGAAGCTCCCCGGGCCTCCGGAGAAGGACACAGGGACCGGGGCGGGGGCGGGCGAGGCCGAGAACTGAACAGCGGGACCAAGAGCGAATGGGGTGGGGGCTGGCGCCGGCGCGGGGTCTGGGGCAGGGTAGTGGGCAGCAGGAGCAGGGGCGGCGGAGCTTGGGGCGGCGCTGGGGACCACCCGAGACTCAGGTTCGTCGGAGGTCACCGCGATGGGGATGACGCTGGGGTCGTCGTTGATGCCGGACGAAGCCACGGGTGCAGGCGCGGCCAGCACAGGGGCAGCCGAGGGGTACGGCAGCGGACTGAAGCGGCCGGGGAAGCTGGGGGCGGCGCTGAAGCTGGGGGCGGCACCGGGGCTGAAGGAAGGTGCCAGGGCCGGGGCCAGACCCGGGGCGTTGCTCAGTGCGTAGCCTCCAAACACAGGGGGTGGCCCAAGGGAGAATCCTGGGTCGATGGGGGCGGCGGCCGGGACGGGGGCGGCGGCCGGGTAGTGCGGAGCGGCGGCGGCGAGGGCCGCGGCGACCAGCGGCAGCAGCAGAGTCTGTGGCAAGCGAGAGAGCGCGGGGGTTAACGGCGGGCCACGGGACAACACAATGAGCAAACACACACATGCGGCAGCGGGGGAGGCGGCTCACCATGGTCCTCATTGTTGGCGTGGGAGGTGTGCGGTGCTCGGGCCGGGGGGTCCAAGTGTACCACCCCGGAGGCTGCGACGAGCTTATATACGACACCTGCCGCCCCCGCCGCCCCCGCACAGCGTGCAGATGCATTGCTACAGTTTGAGTGATTGGGCAACAGGTAGGCGCAACGAGATGACCACAACGCCGGCGACAACGCCTTCTGCCGCGCAGAGCGGGTGGTGGTGCCTGCCTCGCCCCGGCGCGCCGTGAGAACATCACAACTCACACAAACCAACCTACCTCACTGAAAACCATTGGGTGAGGTGTCGTGCTCGAAGTGAGAGAGACAATTTAGCCTCGCCCAATCAGAGCGATGACTAATAAGGCTCACCCCATTTGAGTCGCACCGAATCCTCAATCTTATAATGAGTAAGATTTTACTTATCTCGCCCGATTGCAGTGAGGAACCTCACTTTCGTTGGGCGAGGACCGCAAATTATGACTTCAATTGAGTCAGAGTCAGATATCTCGCTCTCAGGAGAGCGATATTTTTTGTGTCACTGAGCTCGCTCTTCTGGTAGCAAAGACGTCTAATGTCTAACTCGAGCTTTTTCAGTGCTAAACTTCCCTTTACGTCTGTCACCTAGGAATATACAGGGTGGTCCAAAGACCCATTCCTCTATTTTGCTTATACTGTACCGCATGCAGGCGTGCGTGCGGGCTTGCCTACCCTAGCTCGCCGTTGCGCCTTATGGCCCCGTGCAAGTATGCAACCCGGTCGCACGCCTGCATCCGGTACAGTATAAGCAAAATAAAGGAAGGGGTCTGTGGACCACCCTGTATTTCGTCATGAATGAAATATGCCTGTCCCCGAAACATGATAGGCTCTGCCAAAACTGCTACAAAAACTACACATGGCTTTGTCCCTTGTCAACTGCATTACAATGTAAAATGTTGTTCAAACTTCTTACATTACTCTAAATAGTCTCATGTAATTGTATAAAAATTTGTACACGATAATGTAAGAAATGTTAGGTAAGGTAAATTTATGAGGGCATAGATTTACATATTTTATGTACACAACAGTACATACAAATTCAGTGTGTACTTAGTATACACGTTTACGCGCACACACGCCTCCCGGTCCGCAGCCTCGGAACTTTCTCCCCGATATCTTCTTGTGAACGAAGACGTAGTGGCCGGTGGGCGGGTTGGTTGACGGGGAGAGGCCTAGTAGAAGACTCCCCCCCCCCCTCTCCCTCTCCTCTCTCTTCCCCCGCGTCTGGGGTGCCGTTCGCGCCATCCCCGCAGACTTTCCCACAGTGTACCAGGCGCTGCGGTCGCCGGCCCGTTCCTACCCTACCACGCACACATTGTCAAAACATCGTGACAAAATTTGCATCCCATTCATCGCCCTCTCTTTACGTTGACCCTCGAACTCCCCCGACGCAGAAAAACAAACACAGCCTGAGTTGCGATTCCCTTTGGATGACTCAATGTGACGACAAGGGAGATTAAATTTGGGGGGACCTTTCTCCCGGACTATAACACCTCACACATGAGGCTGGGAGTTCATGCGTGTATTGCGCAGCTCGCAGTGCGGACCGGCCCCCGGGGATATAACACCCCCTCGGCGGGCCGTCGCGGTCAGTCCCGGCGGCCCTCCGCACACCTCGCAGCCGCGCTACCGAGCCTCCCCCATCACCATGGTGAGTCTGTATAACCAAAGCGACACACAGGACTAAGCACTTCGGCTTCGGCTGTGCACGCCTATAAACTACCAGGGCTACCCCGAAAATGTAGCACAGGTGCGAACGGCGTTCAATTTCCAATGTATTTCAAAGGGATCGAGCCCTTGGTGCTGATTTTCGAAAGTAGAGTTCGTGTTTTCTTTCATCCACCATGAGAACAACCCGTCTGCTCACCTGCTGGGATCATTTTTCTCACATTCGCTCCGAGTCGGTATGTTCTTAGAAGTGCGTTGGGTCGGCAGCGAGGTCTTGCGAGCGAGAATAAGTTTTGGATCGACGGTGGGGTGGGGAGGGCGGGGTACTCGACCGCATATAGATATGTTACAAGAGATTCGAGACACTTCAAACGAAAACTCACCTCTATCTTCTCCTTTCATATTTCGTCAATACTCTGTCAATCCTAATGTGTGCATGGTATTCTTTAAATATAGTGTAAGTGGCATATGCCAGGTGGCTGATTAACCCCGCTCACTCCTGTAGTTATACTTGTACCGCACTCGTGTGTGCGGTACATCATCAATAACTACAGAAGTGAGCGGCGTTAATCAGCCTGTGGTTGGTCCTGACTTTGTTTGACATTCACCCGTATGACCACGCTCCCTTCGCGTTCCAGAGGACGCTGTTCGCCGTCATGCTCGTGGTTCTCGTGGCGGCCTCCCTTGGCTCGGCCGCGCCCCAGCTGGTGGAGGAGGCCGTGGAGCCGGCGCCCGGCCCGCAGCCCGTGTACTCGTACGACCCCGTCAACGGCTTCGTCTTCAACCCACCCCCGGCGGGCCGACGCCGTGCCTCCCGAGTCAGACCTTTGGACCAGGTCGTTCCGGCAGCACAGCGATTTTCTCCGACCGTCGTCGGAAAGTAGTTGTATAAATAGAAGTCTTTGTTAAAAAATGTAATAGATACGAATCGAATTAAATAAGCTAAGTCTACGGAATTAGCAGACGCACTTGTAATTTTCATCCAGAAACAGAAACATTGTGACCTACCAACCCATCTCATCCGTTAGAGGATTGTGCGAGAACCACGAAAAATGGTTGTGCATTTCAATCCCTCATAATTCCTGCAAAATTTTGATTTTTTTTTCACTGCTCGCACCCTGAAAATCCAAGCATTACTGCCTCGATGCAGGCCCAGACAACCGTGAGGAAACTGGCCTGCTGGATGAGAGCCGTGAGAGAGTGTAGGCCTCGCGGTGTGGCCGGGACCTGGCGGAACACTTGACCGGATCTGGGGGGGATCCATCGCCGCAGATCCGCCCCGCCGATACGGCCCGGGTGCGGCCGCCCTGCCGCTGCGGCTGCGCGGGCTGCGCGTCGGCGGGGATGGCACAGGGTGGCCGCGAGACGTTTAAAAGACCGTCCCGAGCCTGGTCCAGACACCACTCGCTGCAGACCAACAGCACCAGCAACATGATCGCCCAGGTGAGACGCTCAACCCTCTCGGGCAGCAGTCAAAGTTGGGGAACGACGAGCCCCACCTGTGTATTAGGGGTGCATTATATTTTTTGGAGAGGGCTCCAACGGAAAGCATGTTGTACTGACCTTTGTCCCCGTTACAGACATTCATTTGCGTCGTTCTGGTGGCGGCGGCCAGCGCGGCCCCCCAGCAGTACGCCTCTCCGGTCCCGGAGGCGGCCCCAGCTCCAGCATTCGCGCCGTCCGCCCCCGCCCCCGAGCCCGTCTACAGCGCACCAGTCCAGTACCAGGCGCCCGCCC